AACTATTAGCTAATCATAATGCTCTTTGGCACTTAAAAAAAATTCCTGAATCTTGGAAAACACAGTGTGTAATCCCTCTACTTAAGCTTGACAAGCCACCTGAAGATCCTAATTCATATCGTCCTATATCTTTGTCATCTTGTGTTGGAAAGCTTAATGAAAACATGATAAAGATGCGTCTTGAGTGTTATGTAGAGGCGAACAACATCATTCCACATGTTCAATATGGCTTCCGGAGAGGCAGAAGTTGTGCTGACAGCTTCATCTCTCTCTTGTCAGATCTGAAATATGCCAATAATAATAATAAGTCCAGTGTTTGTGTTTTTCTGGATATTGAAGGTGCGTTTGATAATGTAGATCCTGGCATTTTGGTTCAAGTTCTTTCTGACATTGGTATACCAGGTATACTTTGCCATTGGTTATTTAATTTTTTAATAGATAGAACTTTGTATATAAGGCATAATAATATTCTCCATGGTCCCAGAAGGGTCTCCAAAGGTACAATGCAGGGGGCTACATTATCTCCATTGTTGTACAACATATACACTAGTCAAATTCTTAATTTTGTATATATAGAAGGTGTAAATATTTTACAATTTGCGGATGATCTTGTAATATATTGTACAGACCATAATGTAGATAGAGCTGTAAATAGTATAAATAATGCTTTAGAGCAATTGTACATATATTATAATGACAAGTTGGCTCTACAGATTAACCCTAACAAAAGCAAGGCCATGATTTTTAGTAAAGATTTTCCCTCTAATGGCATACTCTACAATAATCATCCAATTTCAGTTGTATCTAACCATAAATTCCTGGGTGTTGTCATTGATAACAAACTTTGTTTTAATTTACACATCAATCACATTATAACTAACTCTCTTAAGGGCTTAAATATTATAAGATGTTTAGCTGGTGTGACTTGGGGTGCAGACCCCAAAGTTTTAAGTATGCTATATAAATCTATAGTCAGAAGCCATTTCGACTACAGTTGTTTAGCCTACTCAAATAGTAATTTTTTGTAAAAAAACTAGACATAATTCAAAACAAAGCTCTGCGAATTATTTCTGGGGCTATGTGTTCAACTCCCATACGAGCTATGGAAGTTGAAACCTAAATAATGCCACTGTGTCTTAGAAGACTTTTGCTAATAGAGAGATATTTACTAAAGCTGGTATCTGGTAATGATAATGTTCTCAAAAAAATAGTACCTTTTCCTTTACAATGCTCGGTCCAGCAGACTTCGGGAGGTGAGCTTTTACAAGGTTATTTTCCAGTTTTGCCTCTCATTGTACAGCAAATGAATGAAGATTTTAAAAATGTAATTAAACAATCAAAGTGGACATGCTACACATACCCTGTATTATATTTGAGACCAATATTGTTACCAAAAATTTTTTTAATAATTGTGAATTATTAAGTTTTATTTAATAATAAATAATAATAATAATTTATTTCGATAACATATTGTCTACATTTACAGATAGTGATCGAAGACACCTTTTAAGCAAAAATCTTGCCTGTATTAGGTGCCTTCGCTCTTCCATAGCTACTAGTTAACATAAAGTTTATTATCTATAACAGTATTAGGGGTACAAAAAAAAAATATGAAAAATAAGAATTGTACGTGTGTGTGATGCGTGTGTGTGTGTGTGTGTGTGTGTGTGTGTGTGTGTGTGTGTGTGTGTGTGTGTGTGTGTGTGTGTGTGTGTGTGTGTGTTTGTGTTAAGTTATGCCATGTGTTTAAGAATAATCTCTGTTTCCTCGTAATCTAAAGGTATTAAATAGTTAGTAACTATTTTTTTGCATTCGCGTAGTGTTTTATTATATATGTCTACGATTTTATTTACTTTATTATATAGATAGGCCGAACGACTGTTAAGTTGATTTTTAGCAAAGGCGGTTCTAGTTTTGGTAAGTGGAATAACATTTTTTTTTCTTCTAGCTGTAATATTGTCTGAGACATAAGGTGTAGTTTTATGTCTTTTCAATATAACGCTAAGAATGTACAGCTTTCTTACAGATAAGACTTTACAAAGAGCGTATAAAGTGTGAGTTGGAAATCTTCTACGTTTAAAGAGCATCACTTTCAGTAAAGCACGTTGCGCACGTTCCACTTCAATCATTTTTGTTTTAACCGCTCCTCCCCAAATGGAAATGCAATAAGTTAGGATTGATTGCGCAAGTGAAGTGTAAATTTCTTTAAAAATATTCCTTCTGGGGCTATGATCAACCCCCCACCCCCCAGGCACTACATGTCTCAAGGACTTGAATATCCAGATCAATTTTCTTAATCTGGTAGAGACTAGTTCAATGTGCGAATGCCAAGAGAGCCGCTGGTCTATCATAACCCCCAGGTATTTCGTTTTATCAATTCTGTCTATAGCAGGACAATCACAGTTAGTGGGTTCAGTTTCAGGATTGCAAGAGTGAATTAATAGATTGAAGTTAGTGTCAGGTTGTGAATGATTTTGAATACTGTAACAGATGTAATTAGTTTTGGCCGTATTCAGGGTTAATAGATTGTTTTTTAACCAGTTGTTAATCAAGTGCAGGCCAGATTCAGCATTATTCTTCACATCTGCCCAGTTATTCCCAGAAAAAACGACTGCTGTATCATCGGCATAGGAAAAGATGTGCGCATGGTCAATTTTTAGATTACAGAGGTCATTAATATATATAAGAAAGAGCGTTGGTCCTAACACACTTCCCTGTGGTACACCATAGGATACAGCAACGTCTTCACTGATGTAATGACCCAATTTCACTCTTTGCATTCTATCAGAGAGATAGCTCTTAAAGAGAGATAGTGCAACATCTCTGATACCTAATTGTTCTAGTTTTTGGACAAGAATAGGGATGAAAACGGTATCAAACGCTTTCCTGAGGTCCAAAAAAACAGTCAGACACTTGATCCCTTTATCCATCGTCTCAGTAACTAGCTGGCTAAGAGCAGCTATTGCATCTTCAGTTGATCTGCCCTGTCTGAAGCCATACTGTGACGTCGATAGAAGCCGAAATTTTTCTAAGTAATTTAATAATCTAGAATTCAAAAGTCTCTCAAGTATCTTCGAGATAGCTGGCAGTACCGAAATTGGCCTATAATTACCCACATCCTCCCTGTCCCCACTCTTGTATACAGGAGTGACTACTGACTTTTTTAGCGGGGCTGGAAAAACGCCCTGCTCAAAACATAAGTTAGCTAAGTGAGTAACTATAGGTACAATTTCGTTTTTTACAAGTTTTAAGAACGTGATGGGAATTTTGTCCCAACCAGGAGCGCCATCTGATCTCAAGTTCATGAGTGTTCTTTCGACTTCTTTCACATCAGCTTGTAGCAAGACAAAGGAGTTGCATGTAGCAACAGTATTTCTAGTTCCGAGAATTAGATTAGAATTGCCACTAGAATTAATATTTTCGGCAAGATGCTCTCCTATTTTCGCAAAGTAATTGTTAATATGATTTGCAGATTCAGTTGGATCATTTTTCAGTTTGAATAACGCCTCACTTTCATCGTATGATTTATTGTTAAAGGTAATGGTTTTTATATTTTTCCACAGCAGTCTATTATTACTAACTGATTTAGTAAGCAAGTCTCTTTCATATTTCCTTTTAAGTTTTTTAATAAGCTTATTACAGAAATTTCTATATCTAGTGTAGGTTATTTTTAATATTTCATTGTGACTCTCTTTTCGAAGCTGTTTTTGTAGTTTGTTACGATGTTTGATGCATCGTAAAATGCCAGGAGTAATCCACGGCTTTATTGTGCGCTGGCTTCTAGGAATCGAGATATTTATGGTATTCGAATTCAGTGATTCAGTGAGCATAGCTATCAGAATTTCCGACAATAACTACTATACTTTGTATACAGATGGTAGCAAAAGTGAGCTCTTTGTGCGCAGTGCCTTTTATGATCCACAATGCAAGTTTGGTCAAAGTTTTCTTCTGGACCCTAAATGCAGTGTTTTCACTGCAGAGGTATATGCGGCCCTCGAGGCCCTGAAGAGGATTGCACATATAAATAGTTTTAATAATTTTTTAATTTTAACAGACAGTTTAAGTATGGTCCAAAGTTTAACTAATCTCAGATTTGACTTTAAAAAAACTATATTTTGTATAATATTAAAAAATTGTTATTTAGTTATGCAAAAAAGGGTATACAGGTCTCTTTCATGTGGATTCCATCACATAGGGGCATAACAGGAAATGATATAGTAGATAAAATTGCACGTGATGGAACCACCATGTTGGATGTTAGCTCCATAGTAAAAGTACCTTTGACCGACTGTTATCAATCTATTGACAACCAGGTCAATAGCTTATGGGTCGAATTTTGGAAACAAGATCAAGAACAGAAGGGTAAATGGTATGGAACTGTTCAAGAAAAACTACCTGTAGCACCATGGTATAACAAACTGAAAATGGCCAGTCGGGACTTTGTTACCACTATAAATAGACTGCGCTTTGGTCACTCCACCGTCCCGGCCCACCTGGCTCGATTGGGCATAGTGGAGAGCAGTTACTGCACCTTCTGCAATAATTCTGTTGGTGATATCGAACATTTCATATTTACATGTGAGTGCTTTTCATTTGACAGATTGATTCTTGTCAGTGAAATTAGTGACATAGTGCAAAATCAAGTGACAGTGCAAGATCCCTCACGCCGCCTGAGTGATATGTTAAAAAATAGATCCTATTACGTGCCTCTATATAAATTCATCAAAAATACAGTGGGGAAATTATAATAAACCGAATAAAAATATTCAAGACTTGGCCTAAAGGTCTAGATGCCAGGCCATAAACTCCAAAAAAAAAAATTGTCATACTAATGTTTATATTTGTGTTTGTATGATTGTAAAAATATTTAAGTCATTGTTTATAATTTATTCTGACTTGCTCGAAGTCTAGTTAGTTTGAATACAATTATTCAAAATTATATAAAACACACAGAAATTCAATCATTTATAGGTTTCGCAAGACTTGAAAATATTTATAAAATGACTAATGTTATGCCTGTTATTTCTATTCAATGCGATTGGATTGATATGTTGAGGTAGGTATTCTCTTTTGTATTGTACCTATAGAAACTTTAAAGTAAAATGAAACATCAGCCTAATATTACATATTTCAGACTTTCCCAAGGGGAATTTTGGATATCTTCTAAGTATATAGGTCAAAACAGTACACATGAAACTATAAAAACCTTGGTTAATAAAACTGATGGAAAAATGCATATAAGATGCCCACAAAATTATCAATATATTTCACACACTAATTTAAGCCTTGTAATGAAGCATATAGATTCCGGGTTAAAAGTGGCATTTGTAGCACCCACTAAGACACATAATATCCACAAAAATGCTGTGCTATCTGTTTCATCGGGAGAAAATGCTATGGCAGCATCATCTTGTGAAGGGGATAAACTCTTAGTTTGGGATACTAGAACTGGTAAGTAATTATATATAAATCAAGGTCAATCATTTTGTAAATTAAAATGTGAATGAAAATAATTGGCCTTTTCTTCCAGATGAAGTTCTCTTGGATTTAAAAGGTCATGGGGGTCCAGTGTACAGATGCAAATTCTTTCCTTCAAATGTAGTTTTGATTTCTGCTGGTGCTGATGGCTCAAGTAAAATATGGTCAGCTGAGTCTGGAATTAATCCTGTGACATTAATAGGTCACAAAATGTCTGTCTGTGATATCAGTATTATTGACAGAGGAAGGAATGTTATAACTGTCAGCAAGTATGATCCTGTTTATTTTTTATCTTATCAGTTGTACACATATTGAGCATGAAATTTACTGAATGGAAACATTATTTTAACTAATTTCACAATTCAGTATGCAAAGAAATTTTAAACAATGCTGATATTGAAACTATTTTATGATTGTTCATTTATAAATCCTATTTTGATATTTAGAGATATTAAAAATAAGGGATATATTTAATCAAGAATGCATGAAATTGACTTTTATTTCACCTTCAAATGATGTCACAAATTATGCTGAATGAAGTAAGGCCAATATCTAGTGATTTAAAAACAATATTGTCCTACTTGGCAAGTTGTCAAAAGCCGACTTCTCAGTTTTTATTTATAAAATAACTAGTGACCCATTAATATCTAAAACCCTGGCTCCACCTGGGTAAGATAGTAATGGGATGTTATTTAGATTTGAGATAATCGTCAAAAACCTTTTATTTTATTTATTTTACAATTTCTGGAAAAATCTTAAAAAAAGTTTTTTATTAAAAAAAAATAGTTTAAATCACTCCTGGTAATACTCTCTGAGAAATCTGAAAGTGAAATTTCATTACAATAATTTAAGCCATTCCCAAGATTAGCCCAGACAGACGGACAGTCTTGATGGCATGCAAATAAAATATATCATAGCTCAATAAAAACACAGTCCTCTCACATTGAGGGTGCCATAATTAATAATTGCAATATTTTTCGTCAATAAAATTGCAGCCTCTATCTGTCAAAGAGCCGTGATAGCTCAGATGGCTTCCTGTAAGTTTTACCGTACTTGAGCAACCTCGGTTTGACCCCCCCTCCCCCCCCCCCCCACGCTATTGTAATTGTTAATTGCAAATTTTAAGTGCTAACTTACCACGTGCTCGGCGGTGAAGGAAAACATTGTGAGAAACGTGCATGTCTGAGAAATAAGAAAAAAAATATTTCGAAGACATGTGAAGTTGGCTAACACGCATTGGGGCCGTGCGGCGGACATTATCTTGCCCTAAAACAAATCTATCTGTCATTATATTATGATTTTATAGGTAATACTGTGAAATCAGAAAATGGTTGTTAACTAAATTGTATAGAAACAGCTGAAATTTCCACTGCTAGGCACATACTTTTCACTAATTTATTATTAAGATTGTAACATCTCTATTTTTATTCATCCATAAATGGGACACTGCTTATTATAGACCTTTGGCATATCCATAGTTACAGCTGCTTAACAAACTTAAAGGCAGTAAGGCAGTTGCAATTTTGCAATACGGGATTTTTGCTTCTTTAATGCTGATCTTATTATATTCCTTGATCTAAATATCATATATAATATGGTACAATCATCCGACTTCCGAGCTCTGCTACAGTAAGAGATGTTGTTTTGAATTCACTTACGCCGCCATGTCACTTTGAGTCAACTTCTGAGCGTAAGGCGCGCCTAAGACGCCCAATATACAGAAGCGATATAAGGCGAAGGCACGGCACGCAGGCATGGTGCCATGGTGCTTCAATAAATTTTCATATAAAATGTATGTGTTGTCGCTCACAGTCGTGACTCGTGCCGAAACGGCGCACAAGTAGCACGTCGATTTTTATACAGTTGTCTGTAGAGGTAGACATGCTATCGCAACAAAGTCGGCTTGTATAATGACGTACCTTGGCATATCTTTACCTGTTCTGTATCATTTTAATCTCGCCCGTGTCTTATCCTTTTTACTCCTTCGCCGCTTCTCTGCCATGCCTTTGCTTTATGCCGCTTCTGTATAATTTGCGCCTTAGAGAACTTTTCATGAATGCTTCATCAGTATATGTAAAACTAAAGATGTAATGTACACCGACAATCATGTCATTTGTTTTGTCGGCGAGCATGTTGCGAATTATGGTTACACTAAAGAAGATATCATTAAACATAAAAGTATGTGGATATCACATGAAATCATTGAATTTTCAGAGATGGCTCTGCAAAGTTATGGGATGTTGGTGAATCAAGAAATATTGCTAACATTCTAGAAGGTCATGGTCCCATTAATTGCTGCACCATAACTTCAACATCAGATACAGTCATGGTAGCTGATGATAGAGAGGTATATAAAAGCCTTTCTTTATCTTCAGTAACAACATAATATTATATTCTCATGTTTGCAATCTATAAAAACATTAGAAAATAATGAGGAAAAATTTTAATTTTAAAGACAGGGGGTAGCATGACCTTGTCACGTCGACAGTAAAGCTCAACCTCTCGCTTCGCGTTCGGAGTGTTATACCAGTAAAAACACACCGCCAATTTCATGATTTTGGAATGCTACTGAGAATTTCTTGACATAAAAAGGTAATAACTGATTTCGGCCCAACCCGGGATTCAACTTGTGACCTCCAACAATGTAGTCATGCAGCACCTAAAGTTATGGAGTCAGATTTATCTCATACCTACCTAGTTATGGAGTCAGATTTATCACAATTAAAAATTTCAATTGCAACAATTTTACTATGTTTCTTTATAATGTTGTAAGTAATCAGAATTAAAGGCTGAGTCTGTTTTCAGGGGTGATCATTTAGCTTTTATTCTGTGATTTATTTGTTCCAGAGCGATTAGTGGATTCATTTCTAGATATTATTTTAGTCTTAATAAATAAATATAATCCAAATATTTATAATTATAATTTTTAAAAGATATGATTTAGTTTTAAACATAATAATCTGAGTAAACATTTAGTAGACACTGAATTATTTTTTAAAACTAATCTGGACAGTAAAAACTTATTGTTATTTTATTGCAAATGCAAACGAGTGATGATTCTCTGAAATTGTGTTCTTTCTATAGAAAAGGGGTGACAAATGAGTATGCAGTCCACCTGATGGTAATTGGATGCTGTGGCCCATAAACATCTAAATCTATCTTCGATTAAGAATTGAGATGTAGATGCGTTGTCATCCCTGAGGACTAAGATAGAATGCCACATATCCAGTAAAAAAAAGGTATCCTGTTCTCTAAATTCACCATACAAAACATAGCAGCATTAAGTTGCTATTTGATGCTGATTCTGTGGATAGCGTGGTACTTCCCTGTTCAAGTCCACCCATTCGAGCTACCATAACATAGCTGTAGTGTGGCTCTGTAAAATTCTATTTTCTAATTTCTTTACATGTATATGTGTATATTTTATGAGTGTTGCAATAAGTAACTCCATTATTTTCCCTTTGGGGCATGTCCTATGTTTTTTGAAAATAATGTTCTCCAAATGCTATGAATAATTTAGTTTTTAAATTAACAAAAATTAACTTTTTAATATTATCTTTTAGATAGGTACGGGCAACAAGTTACTGGTTGTGGGTTGCGAAAGTGGTTTAATAATCTGTGCTCATGTGGCCAAAAGAGAAATTATTTACCAGAAGCAACTGGATTCTGCTATAAATGCCTGCTTGGTTATTGATCAAACCATCATTGCTGGCTGTAGTGATGGAAAGGTAATTATTATGCATTTTAGATTGATGCCACATGTACATATGAATTTATTTCTATCAAAATTAATTTATAATTCACCTTTTCACAAAACTAAAAAGGGAAATGGTCTTTAAATGCCAAAAAAGGTATTGTAGGGACCTCGCTAGGTAAACGGTTAAAATATTAACAAAACGGTGATAATTCCATATTAGCGTCGATTAGCGGGAATAATGTTGCCTTCCATTTTATGTCTGTGAAATTGATGTGAAATGTGAAACACACACACACACACATATATATATATATATAATCATCATCATCATTACAGCCTTTCGTGAGTCCACTGCTGAACATAGGCCTCCCCCAAGGAATGCCACAAACCTGCCTGTCTACCAGGTCGTCACTCCATCTCGTGGGGGGTCGGCTTACACTTCGCCTACCGGTACGAGGCTGCCACTCAAGAACCTTTCTTCCCCATCGGGAAGCCCAGCGACCTTGAGCTTCCTCATACGGCCATATATATATATAAACCTTAAATGAAACAAATGTTACGGATTTTTTCGCGTTTTACCCCCGGCTATAACGGTTTTAGCGGTGGCCTTTTAATATAAATTTTTGGTCCGATCTACGCACACCGAGTTTAGAGTTTCTTGAATGAGCGTCGGGTTAAAACGGGAATTAAAAAGTTAAAATCAAACGCGATAATAAAATCTGTAAAATTATTAGACATAATCCTGTGCATTTACCTGATGAGCCCCGTTAGACAGTTTTGACAAAAAATAGAAAAATTTGACATTTGAGTTTGACTGACGCCTTCAATACAACAGTACTTTCTACCTTCTTCATCGGCCCGTAAATGTCCACTTCAGGACGCATGCTTTTCCTGTTGTAGGAAGGATTTGCCTTAATATTCAAGTTTGGCAGGCGGATTGACTTGCGGTACCAGACGTCTCGCACCTTTGACACTGCTGTCCGTTTCCTGTCTAGTTTACGACTGACGTAAATGAGATAGTTAGGCCGGCCTCGTACATACGGGATTCCGTTGCGATATTCCGATTCGAGATTCCGAACGCAACAAGTTCATATAAAATCTATGACCCGTCACACACGTACGGTAGTTTTCCGTTCGAAAATTTGCGGGCAAACCTGGATTCCGTATGTGTGTGGCCGACCCGTACGGAATTCCGTATGTATGTGGCGGGCCTTATACCGCCATCTATCGGAAGCAATCAGAACTTTTGGTATATTCCATAGTCACCTCTTGCGACGGCCACGGGACGAAATGGGGTGGTGGATTACACACTTAAAAATAACAATAAACATACTTAAAAAATACTTTACCTGTAAGTTGTTGAAGAATTGGGTAATCTGAAAACTGTCTGATTGTTAGGTTGTTCGCAGTGCCGGACAATATTTCAACATTATTGATTGTTGCGTGCTCAAGCGGCATGTGGATAGAAATACAAATTTTGTCTACAAATGTGCTTCAGTGTTATGTTGATGCATATTAAAATAAAATACTTCAATTTTTATTAATTTGTTTATTTTCCAGATTGTTTACCTTAATGTCCAAGATGGTTCAATAGTAAAAGAGTTACACGAATCTGCCAACCCAATCATGAGTATGGCAACACTAGCCAATCAAATGTTTGTAGTGGGAAGACAAGATGGAACCTGCACAGTTTATTCAATGCAAGAAGCACACAATGCAGTAAGAGTACAACTAACAGGCTCCGATTGCGATGGTATAAGAGATATAGCATTTAATGGAAAATGGATTTTGACAGCTTGTAGAGATAGAAATATAAGAAAATATGATTACAATCAAATATCGGTACACTATAAGTAACGCATGAACAAGTCTTGTAATAATATATTTAGTATTAAGGTTTTATAAAATATATCTTACAAAAATTTCAACTTTGTATTTATGTTTTGTATTTAAACAATAAACTGATGTATTTCTTCTAAGTGTTGCTGCAGGCACACCTTAATTGGAAATTCGTTGTTCTACCGATCTAGAAAGAAAACCACCAATTATGACTGCTGCTTACTAAATACTAAGAAAGAATAAGTATGCTAAATTACACAAGCCAGTTGAGAGTTTTCTTATAGCCTACTCTTGTTTTTTTTATAGGATAGTGTGACAAATGAGCACACAGTCCACCTGATGGTAAGTGCTTGCTGTGGCCCATAGACATCTACATCTATCCTCGTTTGGGAATCAAAATGCAGATGCGTTGTCACCCATGAGGACTAAGATGAAATGCCTCTTTTCCAGTAAAATGGGTCTCCGGTTCTCTACACTCACCATACGAAACACAGCAGTGTTAAGCGTGGTCCTTCCCCGGTCGAACCGACCCATTCGTGCTACAACTGTACTACTAATATAGCTGCAGCATGGCTCTACCACGCAATTATTGTCTTGTATTTATTTACTTCTAACGCTTCTCAAAAACCGCTGAATTTAAACCAGCGGTTTTTTAACTTATATCTATGGATTTAATATATTTATTTATGTTATATCTATTTTCTTAAATATTATAGTTTAAAACGAGAAAACTAACAATGCACGACTAATGGTAAGTGACTGCTATATCCCAGGACACTTGCTGGGCTGCTTCACATAGAAAAACTGCGTTACCACCAACTGTACGACCCCCGCGACGGGAATATAAGAAGAGCATCTGGCCGCGGAAACGCATTCGATTCACTTGCGGAAAAAGTAGAGCTCTAATCAAGATAAAGAAGAAAGAAGAAATAATCTCTTCTTCTTCTTTTAAATTATGGTTTCTCAAATAATCTCTTTAGTGTCCCTATAACAATCCGTTCGACGTAATCTGTCACTAATATTTTTTGTAAATCATTTCCCTATTATATTTACAAACCTGCCGTCTATTTTTCTCACTTAAACAAAAAACTTAAAATGCGTTCTAGAACATATTTAAAACAATGATTTAAAAAATGGTAATATTATAATAAGTACGTTTGAGTTGATCATCTAATACGAATATCTACGAGTGAGATCGCTAAATTATTCTAAAGAAAAATCTTGAGGCAGAAACAGTTCGCCCACAGTTATTTATGCGTGGAGCCGTTTAGTTGTAATTTAACACAATTTAGGCCTCATCGCTCGCGGCCTCCTAAATTATACCGTACTTACCTTAGAATGTTTTAAATTTTAGCAAACGATAAATATGTAATTTACAATTAATATATTAACATTGAACTTATTCAGTACTTTGTTTCTAAAATCATCCACTTTGTTCCTAAAAATAATCGGCATGAGTATAAAAGTCTTTTGAAAAGAGTTCAGTACTTACAATCTAACATTGCACAAGACATCGGAGCATATGGGAAGTGGATTCAGGTGTCACGCGACCGGCAACGGTGGTGGAGGAATATAGCAAGGGCGCAGTACATGTGCTGCAACTTGAAGCAGTTCCGCGTGATACCTTTGCGCTGCCAACATATATGGGGACGGCATCGGAATGGCCAACCGCGGCATTGCCGGCGACGGAGCAGACCGCGGCGGTTTAGTTTAGTTTAGTTATAATGATACTTTGTAAAAACTAGTCGATAGGCAAACAGTCAACTTATTTCGGTCATATAGACATACGGTCAACATTCAGTTTTATAGTCAACTTGCTCTCCCCGTCCTTTTCAATTCTTTGGTCCATCGCCACCGGATTGAAGCCGGAAGATACTTATAGAAGTTCATCGTAGAAGATATTTATAAATGATCGACGGTCAAGAAAGAAGATCGAACATGTGCTGCGCTCATATCAATTCTAGTTTCTACCAATAGTCTATCATAGAACGTCATACGTCACTTCAGAGCGTCATATTCCTGTTTCTTACGCGGCCAGTTGATTACCACTTAACGATGCCAAACGGTATTCGACTGGTAACGCCATTTGTGGCAGGAACGGCAACCCATAAGCCCCGTATCGATTATGCGGTTCAAGAGGTCGAACATCAGCGCGCGTTCCAGCCGCGCGAAATGGATACCGCCTTGGAACGCGCGCCAAATTTTTCGTTGGAACGCTCAAACGTGGAGCGGGCCTTTTGATTTGGTGTCAGTTTTTTATCGCGTATCAAAGTAGTCAAGGCGCGCGCGCCAGATGGGACGGTTATTTTCATCATACATGTGTTCGTTGCGTTTTGAAGTCCACTGCTGAACATAGGCCTCCCCCAAAGAATGCCACAAAACACGGTCCTGAGCCACCTGCATCCATCGACTTCCTGCATATCTTACCAGGTCGTCACTCCATCTAGTGGGGGGACACCTTACACTTCGTCCGCCGGTACGAGGCCGCCACTCGAGAACCTTTTTTCCCCATCGGTTGTTGGTTCTTCGAGCTATATGGCCGGCCCATTGCCACTTCAGCTTACTAATCCGTTGGGCTATGTCAGTCACTGTGGTTCTACTGCGGATATCCTCATTTCTAAGTTCATCACGCAGAGAAACTCCGAGCATTCGATATACCGACAGTCAACTTGGCATCGCTGATGGGACTGCAGCACCGCCCAAATTTCGACGGAACCAAACGCTTTCTCATAGTCCACATACGCCAGACATAGTGGCAAATTGTACTCCTCGGACTTTTGTACAATTTGCCGAAGGGTATGTATGTGGTCTATGGTGCTAAAGCCTTTTCGGAAACCAGCTTGTTCGAGAGGCTGTAAGTCGTCAAGTCTGCGCGCGAGACGATTCGTAATGACTCCCGAAAACAGCACGTAGACGCGGCTCAGAAGGGAAATCGGTCTGTAGTTCTTCAAGAGAGCGTAGTCACCTTTCTTGAAGAACAAGACCACCGCACTTCTGCTCCACGCCTCCGGTGTAATGCCACCATAGAGGACGGAATTAAAGAGCTTCTGAAGGACTTCAAGTACCGGTTTTGCACCCGCTTTCACAAGCTCCGCTGTAATTCCATCCTCGCCTGGGGCCTTGCCCTTTTTAAGGTGTTAGAGAGCCATTCTAATCTCGCTCAGACTGACGTCCGGGATATCATCGGAATAGTGTCGGATAAGACTCGCTCTTGGATCGTTACTCACACTTGCGTGTGGCTCCAACGATGATGTGTACCGCTGCCCATAGAACTCTCAATCTCACTCAAAATCTCAGGTGTCCCGGAAACGACGCTGCCACACTCGGTCTTCAGCTTCGACAGTTGGCTCTTTCTGGCAGACAGATCTCTAGCAAAGACTTTGGAGCGCTGGTTCCGCTCGATTGCTTCTTCAATAAGAGCAGTATTAAAGTTGCGTAAGTCCCGCCTCATGCATTTGGAGATCTGTCTGGATATGGATAACCAGAGTTGCAGTAAATTGATAAAATTCTATGGTTCAAAATATAAATAGTAGGTAATAATAGTAAAAGTCGTATTTATCATAATAAAGCGCTCAGAGAAGATGCATGGAACTATGAAAGCGACTGCTGTTCGTACAAGACCGACATCCATGTTGAACGGCCAAACACTGGAACAGCTGCCGCGCGCTAGGCGCGCTTAGTTGATATACTTCGAACATTTAGAACGCGTTTCGCGGAACGCACTGGTCGGCGCGGTCAATCGTAGCGCGCACGCCAGGAGCGCGTAATCGATATGCGGCTATACGTGCGTCTTTTTGAAGACGATCGACAAAGCCGCAACGTAGGACCGCATGCGTGCGACGAGAAGCAAGACCAAGAACAACGACGAGACTTCAGTGGTAATGTGTCGATGACCGAGCGATTGTTAGAAACCAGTGCGTTCGCGCTGCGCACATATACATTCGCCGCGATCGTAGAAGATCTTCCGGTCACCGAAATTAGTTCGACAGTACAACCCGCCGCGCCCGTAATTATAGATGCAGTTCAAAAGTCCCGTGCCATGCGCCCTGTCAGTTCATTCAGCCCGGTCGACAGCTAGTGCCATCGCGAATTAAACATATAATATAACTCAGCGGAAGAACTCGCCGCGATTAGAAGAAAACGTTTAGAGATTGAAGAATACATCGCGCAGTTGCAAGAAGAAACATACAAACAGAGGGCCGTAAACGCGGAAATTTGTGTTTTCTGGGCATTGAACTTAATTAGATTTAGTCGCCCCAATCCGAGACCTTATCCGGCAAAATTCGACTTCACATACAAGTTTGTTCCGGTACTTGGCGACGTTTTCCCGAGAAATATAGGTACAGCCGGTGTATAAAGCATCACCAGTGCACATTACTGGTTTGCAACATATTATTGATAAGCGGAAGAAACAGCGTAGGTGATAGCACGTAGCCTTGTGGAACACCAACATAAATAGACTACGACTATGTTGCTCCAATCTGCAAGAAAACTGCTGATCCAGTGGCAAAATTCTCGGGAAGCTCGGTGCCAACTAGGTAGCACACGTCTTCAGCACAATGAGAGGAACTCCATCAGGCCCACTCGACTTGACACCTAGGGAGAGTAGTGCTATGTGCACCGAGCGCTGTGTTAACCGTATCGTACCGACCTGAAGGCGACATTATATTTCTTTTTAACAGCGCTGGTGAAGGACTCCTATTATAGCGCAATGCAATTTTCCAGGGATGACCAAACCAGGCACCACAGATGATAGAATTCCATTCCATTCCCTGAAGTACCACATCAGCGACAAAATCACGTTGGTATCATCCTGCGAGAAGCATACCCGCCCCTGTCCTCAAAGGAAGGATGCAAAAAAAGACCTCATCCTGTCTCAATCGGCTGACCGTCGTGGGTCTCCTCGGTTCGAGCCGGTTCACCCATTCATTACAGCTCTTCATTTCATGTCTTACCAGGTCGTCACTCCATTTAGTCTGGCTAACCCGTGCGACAGCAAAAGCTGTCGTGTGGTTCTT